TATTCAAACAAAACTGGTGTAACACTAGACGGCGTTCATTGGGTTTACATTAAATTCACGTGCAATGCATTGACTGTCACTCTGAGCGCCAAAAGCACACAAAACACCAAACATTTGCCATTTAATCGTCTTTTTGTGTCACTAATTGTCACCTAATTATGGGAACCGCTGATGCCATGGATTGCACTGCCGCTGATAATCCTAACATTCACTGGTGAGTGACATAACAGTTGATGACTGAATGAGTTGTTTGTATGAATGAAATGACAATTTGTGTGTATCTTAAAGGGTGGAGAAGTATCGCCCGAAACAATTGGATCAATTGATTTCACACCACAATATCATCAGCACATGTGAGCATTAGGATTGTGTGCACACATTGATTTCGTGACTCATTGAATGGCATGTCTGACCACTTAGTGAGCAAATTTATGGCAGAGAAGCGGTTACCACATCTGCTTCTGTACGGCCCGCCCGGCACTGGAAAGACGTCGACAATCCTGTCGTGCGCTCGACAGCTGTATTCACCACAACAGATGTCATCAATGGTTCTCGAGGTTTGTGTCCAACAGTTGTGGCGAGTCGAGCACCGGCCGTTTCACGGCTCCGGCCTTCAATGAGTTGTAATGTATTGATGTTTGTCTTAATGTGGGATCAGTTGAACGCGTCGGACGAGAGGGGCATAGATGTGGTGAGGGGTCCGATACTGAACTTCGCCTCCACTAAAGCCGTATTCAAGTCTGGCTTCAAACTAATCATTTTGGATGAATGCGATGCCATGACGAACGACGCCCAGAACGCCCTCCGCAGAAGTATGCATACCATACCATTGCCATCCCTGTCCACCCAATTCATTTTAATAACTCTTTATTCCCGAAGTAATGGAGAAGTTTTCGACGAACACCAGGTTTTGTCTCATTTGTAACTATCTCTCGAAGATAATACCGGCCCTACAGTCCCGGTGCACGCGATTCCGGTTTGCGCCGTTAAACTCAACACAAATCATACCACGAGTTGAATACATCGCGAAACAGGAGTCCGTGAATGTGACCACTGATGGCATCAAAGCCCTCATCGACTTATCGGACGGCGATATGAGAAAAGTGTTGAATGTATTGCAGAGCACATCCGCCGCCTTCGATGTGGTCGATGAGCGCAATGTCTACCTGTGCTGTGGACGACCTCTTAAGGAGGACATCGAGCACATCATCAGTTTACTATTGAACGAGAAGTTTAGTACCATTTATGAAGGTATGCCTTAAATTGTGTCTTAATTTGCTGCCATTTATGAATGTGATGTCTATTTTGATTGCAATTCAGGTATAATGGAAATGAAGAGAGAGAAAGGACTCGCACTCCAAGACATTCTCAAACAAATGCTTCCATACGTTGACCGAAGTATTTATTTTTGAATTTAATTTATTTCTAAAGTTATTTTTGAATTAAAAATTTTATTTTTAGTTCATTTTCCGACTTATCTTAAGATTGAAGTGTTGGAGAAAATGGCAGACATTGAGTAAGGAATTGCTATTAAATTGTTTAAAAAGTTTTTTGGATAACTTATGTGTCTATGAATGGCAGGTATCAGTTGTCTTCGGGTGGCAATGAGAAGCTACAGTTGGCAGCACTGGTGGCAGCCTTTCAGACGGCTAGGGATGTATCCAAGAAATAAATGAATACCTAGTTCAGAAATAATTGAGATTTTATTTTCCTAATAATTTAACGTTAAATGATTTATGAATCAAATGTATACTGTATTACGGGTACAGTATTGCTCATACCGTGAGTCTACAAAATTGCATTAAAAGTTCGCAAATATTGACATTATATTTGTTTTGAACTTTTATTGCAAGGATTTTTTAAAATTTCAAATACATTGCGATTATAATTAAATGAAAATTATATTATAATTATTAGGGTGTGAACAAATTGATTGAGTTATATCTAGATTTTGTTGATTTGACAATATTTGGGACTACAGTACCATTCCAGTGAGTGGGACCTCAATAAATGCATTACACAACTGATGACTCATTCACTTTTGATTTAAAAGTTTTGCAAAACTTCAGTGTAAGCTAAAAGTGAGATCCAGTTTTACAGTCAGTTTGCGTGTCGATTGTATAATTTGTGACTCAAACCGAAATCTAATTGTTTTTATAGATAATAACAATTACCGCTAATAGTGTAGTGAGACGTAAATGTCAACTATAAGTGTCTAAAAATAGGCCAAACTGTATGCCTATTATAGAGAAAGTGGTCATTATATGAGTGACCAGTCGTAGCGTTCATTCAAACAAATGAGAAGTCATTTGAAAAGCTGTGCTCACCTTTACTACGGTTTAAGGCAAACACGAGATAAAAATCTGTGCCAAAGATTGATTGAAACACCCATTCAGTGAATATAATAAATGAAACAAAAGCTGCGATCAGTTATGAATCATAAGAACAAACAGATGTATGTATTATGGAGTGAATGAGTGTCTCATTTGATGGTATGTATGAATGTATGCATTGATTTGGACCACCATTTGAGTGGTGGACAGCCTATTGTGTCGTAGTATTGGTTCCCAAACACTTCGTATGCGAGTCAACGGGTTATGAATACTCGCATTTTGGTCGGGAGTTTGCGCCGACACCTCAGCCTTCAGAGAGTCTCGCAATTACTGTGCAAACGCTAAACCTTCGCCTCAATAGCATTGAATGCTGTACTCCAGGAGCCAAATGGGAAGTTGTGTTGCGTTTCGCAGTGTTTGACGCACTTCTCAGTGCGAGAGAGAGACTGTGAGAGAGAGTGAGAGATAGAGAGTGAGAGTGAGAGTGAGTGTTGTGTTGCGCGCGGATGGCGTTCACCACTCTATGTACTGAACATTGAATCCATGCATACATTACAGTTAGAGTGCAATCCAGTGCCACAACCAACTGATCCCCGCATTCACCCAATTGTATAGATTGTGAAGATATGTGAAGATATGTTGCACTCGTATGTGAAATGTGTTCACCACTGAAGTGCATCCCATGTATCCGTTCACACATTTCTTCCTATGGCTGTGTTTGGGTGCACTTTGGCTGAGGCTATCGACCCCCTCCCCCGTCAGAGTGTCTGTGCCCATCTCTCCATCCAATACTCCAAACGTTGAGGTGTGTGTGCTATCTATCTAACTGTCCAACCAGTCTATCATTCATAGTGTAGTAATAGTAGATGATATATGAATGTAATGTGCCCAGGGTACACATTACAAGACAATTGTCCTGATGTTTGGTGTGAAGTGTATGTGCAGTCCATGTCTGCGCCCTATTATTGTCACCATTTGTTCATTCAATTGATTATTGATTTTTTGTACGGAATCTCAGTTTTACTCAATATATGGCTTTAGACGGGAATACTGTATAACTGTATACGAGTGCTATTATTGCAGCAAAACATGCATTCATTAGAAATTAATTACCATTTTATTTATATTTATATTAATTTATTTTATTTATATTTATATTAGCTTGATGTTTATTTTGAATCTACTGTTCCAATGTTGCCTGATCAATTTAATGACTCAATTGACACATTAGTAACTCATTTGATTAGATGCCATAAACATGTTTAAAGCCATTTATTTAGTAAATATAGCCTTAAAAGTGGGATTCAAGCAGAATTGGTGTGATTTGTGGACACATTTGTCTCAAATCTAAACAAACATTCAATAATTACCACGAATTGTGTGAAATATCTTAATTTTATGGTCCTTTTGATTGACAGGAATTTTTGCTAAGATATGGATATTTAGGCGAAACGGACAGAAATAGTATCAATTTGTTGAGTGCCGATGGGCTCCGGGATGCCATCATTGAGATGCAAAAGTTTGCTAATTTAGAGCCCACGGGTGTGGCCGACAACACGACACTCGCCCTCATGAGTGGCATGAGGTGTGGTATCCCCGATATCATCCATTCTAGTCAACCACACAAACGCCGATTCAAGCGATACTTTCTTCAGGGATCCAAATGGAACCGAACGGCACTCACCTGGAGGTCAGTTGTCAGACACTCTTTGCTTACGAAGAATATCGCATAATATCAGACATTCTGTGTTTGACTGCATTTCATATATTTATTGTCTTTTGGTTTATCTATAAATCAAATATGTATTCAACGACTGAATGACTCCTTTTCCTCTGAGTATGCAATCAATCACTGCATCGATTGATAGCACTATTTATAATGAAAATCACTTTTAATGTAAACCAAGTTTAGTGAACCTCTCGATGATATATTGATGAAGTTTTTTATGTCCTTATATATGAAATGCTAAATTATTCGTACTCTCAATATTTATTATCAAATATATTAATCAAATTGTTTTTTGGGATAACATTTCGAGTTTTAAGTTGTTTTTTGGTTATACAGTATATTGTTTTTTATTATTATTGCAAAACTACTTATTTGATGATATTTTCAAATTGTGTTCAAAAAGGTTTTATTTAAATTAAATGAATGCGAGTCTATATAAAGAAATGCCATTTGAAACATACAGTATAACTCTGTGGCAAACATTTTATATATTTATTGTGAGCCATAATTAAGTTATTTGTATTCAATTTTATTTCACTTTATTTGCATTTTCTGCTTTTCATTATAAGAGACTCAATGTCTTAACAAATTATATGAACTCGTAATGAGATCTTATATTTAATATGATTTATTCATTTTATGAAGACTTGAAAATTTATTTATATTTTTGTTAAAGAAATATAACACAATCTGTAGATATGTGTACAGAATAAGCGATAAATACGAGAAAATTAAGTTTATTATAGTATGTAGAGAATTGCCATACAGTACAGAGTATAGCCTATTACTAAATACAGTAAAATACTAATAATAGTCGACAGAAATGGGAAATTTATAAAAATATATTTTTAGAAAACGTATTTCCATTCAATGGTTCGCAAAATATAATTAGATTCAGGGAATGGCTGTTTCGGCGAAACTCTTTGTGTCTGACATTTAATTTATGTTCAAATGTTTTGGAGATTTTATTTCATATAAATTATTTTGCGTCCAATTATTTCGATGCAAACAAATATCGCGTTTGTAATGAGAAACCGATCGCGAAGTCATAGATGAATGGCTCGCATAATATAAGTGGACATTCAATACGATAGGTCTTCCCTTCTCGATAATGTTTAGATAATAGTAGTTATAAACTCCAGTTCCACTCAAAAGTCCTTTTTTGCTGTACAAACATATTCTCTATGAGAGCCACTCGAGTGATGTTTGACTTATTGTGCATTTCATGTGCAAATGATTCAATGATTTTTGTCAATGAGTTCATTGAGTTGTTTTGTTCAATGATTTTGATTTTGTGGTGAATTCCCTAATATTGGGACAGTTTATCACTCACTCGATTAGATTGTGGTGTTAACCAACAAAACCCAATTGTGTGTTAAACCTCATCACAACCTCCTTGAGTGAGTGACAGTCGTCTCAGTAATCATCGCATCCA